CTTCATATTTGATCCAGGAGAAGAGACACATGAGGAAAGAAACAATAAGCATACTTTGGCCAAAGAGATAACAAAGGCGATGCAAAACAGTGTCGGTTTATCTATACTATTAAAGCAAAATACCTATTAAGATTTTGCCATTATTTCTCTTTATAATTACATTATCATGCCATTATTTAATTTTAAACATAATCTCTAAATAAGAAATATTCCTAAATAATAGCTAACCAATTTATTCAGTCCTAAATTTCCAACATATTTAATTAAATTATTAAAAAAATTCAGTCAAAACATTTGAAATATTACATAAAATATATTACGGTTCTGAATAATTTAAAATTTTCTAAATTTTCCTTCACTTAAGAAAAAATAACCATAATGAATTTTACACATATTTTTATAATTATATAAAAACTTATAAATAAATTATATAAATTATAATTTTTGTTACTGAAAAATGTTTAAGTTAGAAATTAATCCCATGCTTTTAAAAGCACGGGTCAAAATCTAGTATATCCTTAAAGAACAATCAGATTTGAGGTCAAATATTTTTGAAGAAAGAGAGGATGATGCGAACCTGATCAGCCTCATTGACCAAGGTATGATGATCAAGAACACATCAGCTAAGCCACTGATCATGGTTTGGCTTAATGGACATTTTGAAGGCCTTATTGGTTTGATTTATGAAGTTCTGGACCGAAAAAAGACTTAGGCTTACATGAGAGCGTGTTGGGTTTTTAAATGAGGATATTTTCTTGTGTTGTGACCAGAAGAAAGTACCAAAGAAGATAGAAAAGAAACCGGGACAACATCAGCAACAAAAACATATCAACAATGGGCTAGCCGTAACGAGCATATCGACAAGCTGTTTGGTCCATTTCTCAATCACTTTTGACCCGGCTTCAAAGATAAATGCCTTGGCCATTCTATGCGTATATTCTTCATTCTTCAGAGTCAAAGTCGTGGTTTCTGGTCATGGAGTCAAGAAAGCTATTAAATGTTTCGGTTTTCCAAAGTTTAGGATCTAGCAAAGTTTGGTCAATTCAAACCTCGTTTTCCACAATATACTTAAGTGGATTTTTGACCAAAATTATTATAAATAAGCCATGTATCCATTAAGAATATTAATTCAACTTTTTAATAAAAAATCATCTTTTTTTTTATCTTGTTGAATCCTTTGTTCTTAACCGAACATCATATTTCTGTTGTGAGGCGAGTGATCCCGATGAACAAATCCTTCCATAGAGCTGTCTTGGTGTGTCATATCCAGGGAAATGGGAGAGGGTGAATCAAAGGCTTTCCGCATCCTTTGTGTGGCCCCTTGATCAATCATCATCTATCCATCACCGAACTAACCAAAAATCAGAGTGGCCGTTCCTAGGGCTCATCAAGGTTTAACCAAGAATAGCTAACGAGGGACCGCCCAAACTGCAGCCTTCACCAACAGACATAAATGCCAAAGGCCGAGATCACACATAAAATTAGCCGTTCATTGTTTGGAATGAAGAGTCTCAGAGGGTCGCCACACCCCATGGACCTACACCAAGAGACAAATTAAGCCATCACCGCATCAGAGAAGTGGACAAAAAAAATCCTATATCATGCCCCTGAAATCTAACTAGTTCAGAACGAGATGCCACCAAGAAGGAGAGTCACAGTTGACAAGACAGAAAACAAACCGCCCCTCCCGCACTCACCATGGAGAACCTGTAGAGGAAACTCCTAGCTTGGAAGTCCAGTATCCCCGGAGGCCCTTCGAGAGCTTGGATGACATGCCTTAAAACATACGCCATCGAGATCTAAGAAAAACGAAAAAAATAAAACCAAACCTCCACCGTCATACAAGTTCCAACACCGGTGCAGACCATATGAGTTAGCTGATATCACTCAAATTACCCTAAGGAGTTAATTTACTCTCTCAGATATGAGGTTCAGCTGTAGTACTTAGGGATCGAATCCACAAAGAGCTAGGGAAATAATTAGATCTAAACAGTTATGAATAATCTAGGCAAATAAATAAGAAAACAGTAAATAAAATAGTAAACAAGATGAGCAAGAAAATTGTTCAGCTTGGCATAGAGTTGTCTGATGGAAGGATGGTTGTTATATCTAGGGTTTTTATTCAGGTATTGGAGATTATAATCATATAGGTGCTAAACAGTTGTATGCATGATATTGAAGATCTTAACCACTAAGTAACAAATTCATTAGGCGTTCGCTTTACTGAATAAGTCTATTAACTAGATCTATTGACTCAAACAAGAATGTTCGATCAATAGCAGTGTCGATCGATATTCTATATAAATATCGATCGATTAACTTCACACAACGTCGATCGATTTCCAATGGGAATATCGATCGATGCGGCTAGTTAAGCTTTATGCGCGAGTTAATTATACCCACTAAAGACCTCCAGATCAAGCTATAGCTATACTCTAGCAAATCCTAGCTTAATAGAATAGATTCATGATGTTTAGAATTGTCTAAAGGTTGCTTTAATAGACTAAACTCCTTAGATCAGGTTTATTGTTAGCTAATACAGAACATAAGCATTAAGAAAATCCTATTAATAAATACCACAACAACCGATCCTATAGTTGGGGCTAATCCCTCTAACCTATTTGTACCCTAAACCTAATAGGTGGATCTATTAATACATAAAGTTTGTCACATAAATAATAGATAAATATATAAATAGAATAGATATAAAATATGAAAAACCAAAGGAGTTTAAGGAGGACTCTGATGGAGTTCCTACCTTATCTCCTAGAACTTAGAACAATAGAATAAATCTTAGGTAATCTCTAGCCGTCAACAATGGCTTACAAACACACATAAATAGAGTTTTTGGTCGTCCAGGGGTATCTTGGTAATTTGGATTTCTTCTAGGCTTAAGTTGGTCTTGAAATATACTCGATCTGCGTTCTTTGATCCATATACAAGTAGTGCTGCATCGATCAATTTTTCTTTATCTTTTCGACAGTTTCCTCTCGCGAGGCAGACTGACCACTTTTCAGTAAAATGGGCATAACTTCTGCTACAGGATGTTGATTGACCTCAAACCGGTGGCATGGAAATCTAACTCAAATATATATCTTAGGTCAAAATATGGGATCAATCTAACGGTGGGAAGGGCTACATTCCTAGCTAAACATCTGACGCGTCTGTGTAGTTATATACACTCAAAAGGCTCCAAAAGACACCAAAATTACCATATTTCTCCAAAACGTACCTGAACCTGTAAATACTCTAAAAAGACTCCAAAACGTAGTAATTATATCTTGAAACACTTATATACCATGGTTAAAAGTGGGTAAAATCCATGGTATATCATTAGCTCACCAATAGTGAGAAAGAGGAACAAGGTGGCAAGAAAGTGAAACATATCCACTTTTAACGGCCCAATCTGTTACCAAAACTAAACGTCCACTTCTTTACTCATCCAAAGAAATTAACGAAGTTAAAATCGCCTCTAAGCTTCATCAAAACTCTGAGCTAAGAACCACCATATATGAAACCGTGGTGGCAATAATGTTTATAACTGCGAGAAAGGATATATAGAGGAAAGGGTTTGAGAAGAGGTTAAAATAAAAAGAATCTAATGGAAAGAGGGGGGGGGGGAGTGGCCGGAGATAGAAAAATACCGTTAACCACCTAAATCTAAATCTAGAATTCTTAGAGAAAAAATAGGTAGAGAGAGAGAGTCCAACCGTTTTATTTTAATACATAAACTTGAATAGATTTGTAGGTTAGAAAATATATATTTATTATTTTCTAATGGATTATATAGTATTTAAAAAGGAAAATATGTTATGAGAGTGGTTACATACTTGCATTAGGTTTAGTGGTTTAGACTGAAACCACCTCATATAGAGAGGGTGTGACTAAGATTCCAACTGGAAGCACAAATGGTTATTTAGTAGATGGTAGGTAGATGAGAGTAAATATACAAAAAAAATATATTTTTTTTGTATATGGCATAATACATAGATATATCAACTTACTAAAAATAGTAGAGTATGCATGCTGCAGCCTTACATTTTTTTTTTTTGGTAAAAAGCAGCCTTACAAAATTAAAATAATCTAGCCTACATATGGATTTTTTGAAAGATCATTAGAGCATTATTATCGGGAGATAATAGAGAGTGCTTAGCACACAAGTCAACGGGGAGAGACAACATGATAAACAAAAGTCGGTGCTTCTAATGCTCAAAGAAGCGTTCGATTTTCGATGGTGCTTGGACTGTTTCGCGGGCCGCACGACACGTGGCGGCCTGCAATTGATCCTTTATTATTATTTACTTTTTTTAAATCCAGAAAAAAAAAACAAAAAATGGTTAAACACCCTGCTGGGATAAATGTGCTCTTATACTCTACATAGATGTTACCGACCACAACTTTTTTTATTAATGTAAACATTGTGAACGCAGCCTGCCGTGGCATATGGCAATATCACTACTCAAACTCATGTAAAATAAAAAGACATATAGTCAAATTTATTATGTCTTTTTCTTAATCATGACATATAGGTAGCTAAAAATCTACAAGCCAAAAATACAATATGTATGCTGCAGCCTTACAAATTTGTAAAATGAGTAATATAAAGATTTTTAAAGATTATTACTTTACATAGGTGTTCTTGTCCACAAAATTAATTATGTGAAATTGTTATCGCAGGCTTTCACGCATGCTACCTTAGCGTCTCCATCATTCTCAATGCCATTCGACTCATCAGCATTTGACTCTATAATAATTACGAATTTTGTTTGTCGGCATATAATTGAGAATATTATAGGAAGAAAAAAAAAGAAGAATGAAAATTGAAGTGGGTGCTGGTGGCAGCAAATGGTTGGGACCTACTTCCAGGTTTACATCCTTGTCGTTTTCTTTGTTCCCAACGCAAGAGCTGCAATCGTCTGCACCACAGAGCATATTAAGTTCTTACAGATACATATAATAACCAGCCACGTTTCTATAATTAGACAGAAGTTGGGGTGTCGCAAAAATATACAGCTATTTATTGTTTCAATTAAAATTAGAACGAAATCGAAAAACTAAAAAAAAAAAGATATTAGAAGGAGGGGAAGAAGAAGAGGAGATTTAAGAGAAGAGAATCTGTTTGAATACACTGCGAATCATATCTTACTCGTACTTTCTTCTCTGTGAAGACGATGATGGTAGTTAACAGCTTCGATTTATGGCAAAAGGATGTTTTCTTCCCTGCAGCTGAAGAAGTACAAAAATCTGCAGATATGTATGTATTGGTTTTGTCTTTATTATAAACTTTGATGTAGCTTATGATTAGTTAACTTGGGTTTTCATTTTATTCAGAATGGAGTCTGCTTATAGATTGTGGATTAGAGAGAAGAAAGATGACATCTTTAAGGAACTCCAAGCAGCTTTGGGTACTGCTAAATGGCAGGTATTGTTTTGGGAACCTCTCTCTGCGCAAAAGTCTTTCTTGAATCATGTTTAGTGTGTGTTTGTGTTCTTGTATTATTTTGGAACCTCTGCACAATTTTGTTGTAAATAACCAGCGAGTTAGACAAGAAAAACTAGATACAAACATGATTGAAGCAAACACTTATTAGATCCCTATTCATAAACCTCAAACCCTATTTACTATTTTGATTTAGAATGGGTTTTATAATCCGAATAGAATATCTTATCCGTCCGGCCAAACCGAATGTGATCTTTTACAATGCCTAGCTTTCGGATTTCAGTTTGGTTTCGGTTTGATTTGCTTTTTCTGGTTTATTCGAATAAATTTTTAATATTTGGCATAAAAAATTATTCGGATAATATTAAAAAATTTCGGGTAAAACTATTTGGATAATTTGTTTGATGACTTATTTCCACACAAGAAGTATCATACAGTAATATTTTCACACAATCTTTCATGCTCGTTCAAATTGTACACATTTTAAGTATATGAACTTATGTACCCCCATTTTTAAAGATCAAAACCTGAAACCACACTGACAAAGGTTTAGCTTGGTTTTACTGGTTATGAATTTAAACCGATATCAAACCAGTTGGTATCGAACTGAAATTAAAACTCGACCCGACTTGATATCCAAAAAGAACCCGACCCAACATCCTACTAAAGAGTTGGGTCGAATACTATTTGAATATCAGGTTGGTCTAGTTTTATTTCAGTTCGATATCAACTGGTTTGATCGGTTTAACTGGTTTGATAGCGGTTTATATTTTAAACCAATAAACTAAGATAAACCTGTGTGGTTTCGTGTTTCGATCTTTGAAAATAGGGGTAAATAGATTCATATAGTTAAAATGTGTGAAACTATGACGAGCATGAAATGAAAGATTGTGTGAAAATGTTACTATACGATACTTCTAGTGTGGAGATATATCGTTTACCCTTTGTCTAGGTAGTTCGAGTTATAAGTAGCATTTTATAAATATTTGCTAACTTTAAAACTAAATATAATTAACTTTTTAAGTATATAAACTGTATTTTAGATATTGAGATACCTATTCAGTTCTTGGTTGACTGGTTTCGTTTCGATTTTTTTTTTGGCTCTAGAGACATAGGGACTGCTCGTTATTTGTGAACACCGGTTCGGTTTTTGATTCAGTTCCAGTTTGGTTTTTGATTCAGTTCCGATTTGGGTTTTGGTTCAAGGTTTATATGTCCATGCATAACTAGCATCCGGAGATTTAAGTCATTGTTAAAATTAACAAGTTTCTTGAATCATGTGCTCTGGTTTAGTGGGTGTGTTCTTGTTGGATTTTGAAAAATGGTTTTGTTTTTGTTAACTGGCCTCATTTCTTCAAGTTATTTAATTTTTATTTTTGGTTATTGCAAACTTTTATTATCAATCGGTTTGAGGAGTTCCATAATACGTTCTTTGAGTCATCTCATGTTTATTGTGATGTTATCTTGGGGAGGTTTCAAGAAAGTGTCGTTTTGTTTTTCTCTTTAGCTCAACAAGATAATCGAGTCTTCTTTGTGCTAACTGCAAAATTTGAAACTATGATTTTCAGTTGGAGGAGTTTGAGAAAGCAGTCAGATTGAGCCATAGACAGTGTGGGGATGATTCGACATCTACAACAAGGCATAAACAGTTTGTTGCCGCTATAGAAAACCAGATTCGTCGTGTTGAAGCCTCACTGCAAGAAACTTACAGTGAAAATGGAAAAGAGCCTCTCCGTTGGGTTAATCTCAGTGAAGAAGAGAGAGACGACTTGGCCATGTTTCTCTCTGGATCTTCTTTAACCTCACATAGCTTTAGTAGTGAGAGCAGCGTCAGGTCAAATGGAGCTGAAGTTACAGGTAACGGTAATGGTTCTGAATGTGTCATAGACATTCAAGAAAGCGTAAAACCAAGAAATGCAGAGAAAACAGCTGGGACAAGAAGGACATGGAGTTCACCAGATTTCAGTTCCTTGAGGATTATAGTTCCTGGTGATAACAAACAAGAAGAGGAGAAACTAGTGACACAAATCGAAGCCACTCCGAAAGTAAAAGGAACTAAGTCCATATTATGGATACAGAGACTTCCTGATCATACTCAGGTGAGTTCTCACATTTACTTTGATCTAATACCCTTTCTCATTATAGGAAAAAAATAACTTACTTGTTTAGCGATTATTCTCAGCTCTTGGACAAGATTGGTTGCTTCAGGAATCCCATACGTTTACCATTTAATCATCCTATCAAGCTCACTGTTTCCTTAATGCTAATGGTGTTTCTTCTATGTGAGTCAATCTTCACTTGTTTTTTCACCTTAATGATTTGGATTTGATCTTGTGAGTGTTAAGTTTCTAATGAGCATTGGTGTTTAAAACAATGCAGTACCCTTCGTAGTGTATTCTTCTTGAGAATTTAACTGTCAAGAAGCTTAATCATCATCACTTCAAGAACACGTTGAGATTAAAGAGTGATTCACATATAATTACTTTGTATTTGTTGCTTCAGGGAACATATAGAAAATCAGAAACTCGTGACATTTGAATAGAGTTTACACTTTGGTTTTGGCTATCGTTTATGAAAAATGTAAATGTATAATACGTTACATAGTTTTCACGTATTGCCCTCCTCTCTGGTCCTTTTTTCCCCTTTTCCAGTTACCAAGTTTTAACAACAATAATATAGGTAATATACAAAAAAAAAAAAAAAAAAACAACAACAACAACAATAATATAGGTAAACTGATGTAGATATCTGGATAAGACATTTGGATAGTTTTTTATTTTTGGGTTTGAGGCATTTTAGCTTGTAGATGTATACAAACCATTAAGTATAACCATTGTTTTAAAACGCGTCCGGTTTGGCGATTAATCGCCTGCCTAGTCGCTAAGCGGTATGCAACCGCGATTATGACATAATCGGCTTAATTAATCGCCTAACCAACTAATCGGCCTATAACCCGATTAACCGGTTTTATAACCGATTAAATCCGATTTTTCTTTTTACTATTTAGGCAAATTTGGACTTTCTGTATAAGCCCAGTTGCAGGTTTTAACTCAAACCACATGTAGAGCTATTTATACAGGTTTTCCACTCATGCTCTCCTTGTATTTAGTCGATGTGGGACTTTGACTAAAATGTTTTAATTTTTTTTTTTAAATATAAAAAGGAGGTAGACGAGAGGAATCGAAGCCAGGACCTGTCTTGGCGCTTTCAATGACACAAACCATTTGGCCGATAGATATATTGATGTATAAGCACATTTTTAATATATACTCATATTTACAATAAATAATTATAAAAACTAATTTCCGATTAATCCCTGCATAATCCCCGATTTATTGATTAGGCGTTAGTCCCACACCGAGCGCCCGACTAGCGCCTAGCGAATTCTTAAACATGGAGTATAACACTGAATGATTTTAATATGAGAAAAAATAAGTTCATGACCAATCTGGTGGTACATAGAGGCAGAAATATACCAAAACAAAGGAGAAAATTACCAAAAACTAGATATACCAATAGGTACCAACCATTCAAGAGAAGAACGTTATAAGCCTCAATCGTTCTTGATTCATGAGATCTTTGTTGAGGGGAAACAATTGACTTGAGAACACCATGATATAAGCCTAGCAACATCATAGCCAAAATTTATTACGATTTGAATCACAAGCTTGACTCTTTATATTGTTCTAAGGGATTGATGAGCCACCGAGATTAAAACTTGGAAATAAACCAAAGAAGACAAGAAAAATATAATCTAACCTCGCGACTTCTCACATAAATATGAGCCGGAGCTCCAAATTGTTTGTTGTCTTGCTCTTTTTGTTCTTTTCCAGTTTCAAGTGTTCAATGACAATAATATTGATAAGTTGATGTAGAATACATAATACTAGGTAATAACATCCGCATTACATGGAATGAGATTATTAATTTTATTATTTTTAAAATAAAAAGATATTAAATCTGTTTAACCTGGATATCGGTTCGGTTTTCGGTTATTTTATGTTTTGTTTTTAATCTCATAAAATATAACCATCATTCTCAATCCATTTTTAGTTTGTTCGGTTAAAATGTTTGATGTTATTTGTTTTTCTCGTAATAACCAAAATCTATTATTATTTATTTGTTTTCATATTATATAAATTTTAGACACTCTTGATGTCGAACCAATGGATTCCTATTATAATTTCTAAATGCATGAAAATCAAGTCAAATCTTGATCATTGTTAAAGAAAAAGAAAAGAAAACTACTAAAGCAAATCATTTCATTACAATTTAATCGATGGAGAGAAAACATTAAAAAAATTATTCAAACTTCCAAGAGAATTAGAATCCTCACTTGTGATGAATATTTAGTTATATAGTCGATCATGTCAATGTGTACATGTATGTCTATATAAAAGTATATATATTTGGTAATAAATATATGAAGATACTTTTAATTAACATTAAAATAAATATTTTCATTCAAATAGTAAAATTCTTATAATAAAACTAAGTAAAAATAAAATAGACATAAAACTTAGTAAAAAAAAATCCATATAAATAAAATCAAATTAACTGTATCCATAAAAAACAAAAATAATATATAGTACAATGTGATCTCTTCACTCGATATCTTACTTCTATTTTAATCGATTTCATAATTTTTTTTCCTTTTAAAGTTTTTCTAATTTCTGATTTTTTTCTACCAATCTTTTTTTTTTATAATTCTTGGTTTGATATGAAATTTTTTAAAATTAATATTTGGCTAAACTGTGTGGAGATATAAATGAAACAAGGGATCATCTCTTTTTTGCATGTCCGTTCAGCTACACTATGTGGGACAATGTTGCTGGACGTTTGCTTGGACAAAGAATAGATCCTGAGTGGTCTGATACTTTGCTATCTCTTCACCGTGCTCGTTTCTCCCAGATGGACGGGGTGTTGGTTAAATTGGTTTCCAGATGACGATATACAGTGTTTCGAAGGAGCGTAACGGGAGACGGCATCACAAACCGTGGTCAACTGCAACTCAGATCACTCGCTTCATTGACAAGACGGCATCACAAGTTCGAAGGGCTTATGCGAAGATGGTTTGAAGTTGCTCCTTAGGTTCTTCCCTCCTCTTTCGTAAATTTTTTTGGTCTTTTAGTCCTCATATTCTTTAGATAGGTTATTTTTTGTAAAGATGTTTCCATGTATTAATAAATTTGAAATTTCATCAAAAAAAAAATATTTGATTAAACTAGGTATCTGATTTTATGTATGGTGTTTCTCACTACAGTTTCCTTAATTCATAGCTAATCATAATTTTTTCGTGTATAGAAGCCTCAACCATGGCCAACTCATTAAGGTAAGAAACTTTCAATTTCTATAAACATTCTCATTAGTTGCACAGAGATAATTTCAATTCCCAAATACAAAGATAAATGCATGAACTAAAAATGAATTAATTGAAAGATTAGTGTATGAGCACATTTAATTATGAGTTGAAAATTAACGTGTGAACGCATTAATTGTTAAATGCTTATGAAGCTGCTACGTGGCCAATGTAGTATGAACACACTAAATGATAATGGTTTTCTTTTAATATAGAGAGGATTTCGCTAAAAGACATTTGGATAGTTTTTAGAAAAAATACTAAAATGTTATAGAAAAGTTGTGTTATTATTAGAATAATATACATCTTTTTAAAAGTACTAGAATGTTTGTAGACTCCTAATAAATTACAATTAAGATTCTTGGCTAGTTTTTTAAAATCGTATCTATTAAAATAGAAGTCATGACTTCTTTTATGTGTGATTTTTTTTTTAACTTGGACCATTTTTAAATATTTATTAATACTAATAATATATATAATATTCGAACTACTTTAAGCATAAGATCTTTCGATACTTTTCATTTTTATATTAATATTAAGTTTAAAAATTCTAATAAATCTATTTCAATTTTTTTTGACAATGTATTATTTTTAATTATATGTAAATATGTAAATATATATATATATATATATATATATATATATATATATTTAAAAATGTAATAATCTGTTGAAAAATAATTTAACAATGTCTTAATTTTAAAAAGTTTATGTAATAATTTCACTAATTTCATAATTAGCAATGAACTATAATTATGCATTAATATATATTTTTAAAAATAAAAAATAAAATTATATCCTCTTTGTATCTATTTTTATGTCATCAACTTAAAACATACTCATACAAACTCTGCAAACAAAATTGGTAGCTCTACATCCGTATGAACAACGAAAGACGATTGTTTCCTGGCACTACGTGCTAGACTATCCGCATTCAAATTCTGCATTCTTGGTACATAGATGATCTCCGAGCTAATGAAATTTTCCCTAAGGATCTTTATGTCTCCTAGGTAAGTTGCAAATGCTGACCTTTGTTCTGGTTCCGAAACCATCTTCACCAATTGAGAATAATCCGTAGCAAAAGTAACCCGATCCTGCCGTAAACTCCTCATGCATTCCAGTGCCCATATTAGTGCTTCGACCTCAGAATGAAGAGGTGATAGGCTAGCCCTGACATTCCTTGCCCCATCAATCCGGAAAAACCTTCTAAGGTGCTATACCAACCTTGTCCGAAAAAACCTCCTTATCATTCCATGAGCCATCGGTAAAACACCAGTGCTCGGGATCGACTGAAGTGTCGTGACCTCTCGATTTTGTTGTCCATTCTGTGTAGGTGGCACCTGAGCTCCCGCCCAAAGGGTAGCTTCTGTTTCCTCTAGCTTAAATGTGTCCATGGGGTCAATGTCCAGATTACTAAATGTTTGACCATTCCTTCCTTTCAAAATGTACCACAATATCCATGCAAAATGATGATCCTCCATTTTTGGATGAACCCTCCAGAATAAATGATCCGTATTTTCGAAGAAAGAAGTAGTGGGGGAAAATAGCTGGATTAGATGGTATCTTTGATAGTGCCTAGATTTGGCGCGCTGGAGGGCATTCAAAAAACACATGGTTGATTGATTCCACTTCAGCTCCGCATCTGGCACAATATGTATCTCCTTGTAACTCTCTTGCTTTCAGATTTTTCGTCACAGCTATACATCACGACAATATCTGCCATAGAAAATGCCATATCTTTGGTGAGCCCCGCACCTTCCAGCAGAAAGCCTTCAGTAAATTAATGGAAGGTCCGAGAACTACTGACGCTTTTTCTTTATCCGGATATACCCGTTATACTTGATAACCACTCTTAATTGTGTATTTGCCACTGTTGGTGTAATGTCATCCATCTTGATCCTCAATCTGAGTGCGTCTCAATGGAATGCGTAGTATGAATTTCACATCCTTTGGGTCCATCAGAGCTCTAATTGCCTGTATATTCCAGCTTCGTGAATCACTGTTGATGAGAGACTCCACTGTAAGGTCTGGATAAAGATCATGTTGATTTTTATTTATTGGTCTCGGGCGAGTGGTTGGGAGCCATGGATCATTTCATACAAATATGGATGATCATGATCCCACCCTTTTGATTAGTTATTTACCAACCAGAGATCTAGCAGAAATCACACTTCGCCAGCCATAGGACGTAGAGTATGAGCGGATCGGGTCCAGGGGTGAAGCATTCCTGTAGTACTTTCCTTTAAAAAACTCGCGAAAACAAACTGTTTGGTTTCTCTAT